AAATAAAATATGCTATATAAGTAAATATTCTCCGTGAGAGCAGAGCCCAAAGCTCGTGGCCAGTGGTGTTCGGACTGGAGTTTGAACATCTGCTTCATGATGTAAAGGGGAATCACCCACGAGCTCTCCCGCGAGCCGTCCCAGGGCAGCGCAGGGGAACGATTTTACTCTATCGCTTTGTTCTAAGCAGTGGGGGTGAAATTCGCAGGGAAGGAGTGGGTAGTGACGCTGGGTGTAACTAAAAAGGTGCCATTGTCCGGTGAGGTCCGGTTGGGGAGTTACGGAATGATCTCATATCGCATAATCTTATTAACTGTTTATCTCCTGAACTGCATCTTTCTTTACCACGCTATTCAGCACCAATCCTGCCGTGCAGTTAATTTCACTGGTTAAGGTTAGGGTCAGGTGTGGGGTAGGTTTAGGCCGGGGTTAGCATTGTTTGTAGCATAGTGTAGGAAATCAACACTTTAATTGACACAACCAATAAAATCTTTAGAATCAGCTGTGGGGCGGAGTTTGCACTGAAGTGGATTGGGGGGAAATGTGGGCATGCGTGTCATGTGCCTGTCTGCCAATGGGAGGAAGCCACGCCCTATTTTGGAGCTCCCACCCCGTTTTGGAGTTCCCGCCCCCATTTGGAGATCTCCAGGCTGCAGTTATACCCTTCTCGGAAACCTGGCATTTATGCAGATGCCACCTACTTAAAGATTGTTGCAGAATATGTACCCTTTCATGGCAACGGTGGTCCCTGATGGTACCGGACTCTTTCAGCAGGATAATGCACCCTGCCACACTGCAAAAATTGTTCAGGAATGGTTTGAGGAACATGACAGTGAAGAGTTCTCCAGATCTCAATCCAATTGAGCAATTTATGGGATGTGCTGGACAAATTCAATCCATTGTGGCCCCACCTCACAATTTGTAGGACTTAAAGGATCTGCTACTAATGTCTTGGTGTCAGATACCACAGTATACATTCAGCAGAGCTGTTCTGGCAGCACATGGTGGGACCTACACGATATTTTAATATTGTGGCTGGTCAGTGTATATGGTTACTGAACATTATTAACTTCTATCGCGCTCATAGCGCCCTCTTGAGGCAATGCCACTCAAAATGCTAAAGGTTTACTTTTCATGCTGGTGCCTATATTTTGCTTTATTTAGCTTTTTTATTTAACATGTCTCTTCCAAAGTTAAATAATAATAATAATAATAATAATAATAATGGCTGTCAGATGTAAAATAATAAAACTATGTAAAATCATTATTGTATGTAAATATCCACCTATGTTTCTTTCAGTTATAAGGATGAATTACTAAGTCATGGATTTGTAGAAGTTTCTTCAATATCAGTTCAGAAAATGTACATCTTGAAATATAACTAACAATATAAAAGTTACTCTTATATTTACTTAAAATAAATTATTAGAATTACACTAAAAGGCCTTTTACTTTCTAAGAAAAAAAGTACAAACTATCAGAAGGCAAGAACTGACAGAAGGCATGTAGAAGATTGTGTTAACAGGTTTTTCAGAAAGGTTTTGATGATGTTAATCATTTAGAGGCCTTAAAATATTGTTGTATCAAATATGAGACAGTAGGCTTCATAGGGTTAAAGACGTGCTTACATTATTTTTAACAGGACAGAACAAAAAGAATGTCTCATACCATTTAAAATTAATTTTAAGGCTTTGGGTAAATATAAAGTTCACTTGTTCTTCTCTCAGGTCTTTGCATCCTCAGTACGCATATTTACTCTAATTAACTGCAGAATATACGTATACTGGAAGTAGCAACCCAAGATTTAATTTAGAGGACCAGGTCCATTCGGTATACATCTGCATCTGCACTGAATGCTGAAGTACTAAGAAATGGGAATTACTTGAAATGACATAAAAAAAAACATGTTAGACCAACAGAATTCCCCCAAATGCCATCCCAACTTGTCAAACATAGTTGTCTGAACAAAGAATTTCACACTGAACAAAATTGAGGTCCCTGCATGCATTTCAGCATGAATAACTTATGTGGTCACTATTATATGATTATTGTTTCACTGTTTGCTGATAGTTTTTTAACCTTTTGTTGTTGTTTTTTATCATTATTGTTAGATATTTCTTGTGTTGTGATTTAAAGAGCTTATCTGAGCTTAGAGTTGTCAGGTGTTAGTGCTTTTTCATAGTAATTATGAATATCTTTGCTTTATCAGGCTCAACAGAAACAAAGATAGCATACTTCACAAGTGAAATAGTCTTTAAAACTATATAGCCAATTATCAAAATAATAGCTCAATTTATTGTGTTAATTTGCAGAACAACTAATTTGTTGAGAAAGAAATCTGTAATGCCTTGAATTTATTAGCTGAATGAGGCATTTTGCGTTTAGTGAATGAACAAATTCAAAATGACATAAAGTAGTATTACTTACAAATATTTTGAGACAATACAGGTGCATCTCAATAAATTAGAATGTCATGGTAAAGTACATTTATTTCAGTAATTCAACTCAAATTGTGAAACTCGTGTATTAAATAAATTAATTGCACACAGACTGAAGTAGTTTAAGTCTTTGGCTCTTTTAATTTTGATGATTTTGGCTCACATTTAACAAAAACCCACCAATTCACTATCTCGACAAATTAGAATACTTCATAAGACCAATAAAACATTTTTTTAGTGAATTGTTGACCTTCTGGAAAGTATGTTCATTTACTGTACATGTACTCAATATTTGGTAGGGGCTCCTTTTGCTTTAATTACTGCCTCAATTCGGCGTGGCATGGAGGTGATCAGTTTGTGGCACTGCTGAGGTGGTATGGAAGCCCAGGTTTCTTTGACAGTGGCCTTCAGCTCATCTGCATTTTTTGGTCTCTTGTTTCTCATTTTCCTCTTGGTTCAGGTCTGTTGAGTTTGCTGGCCAGTCAAGCACACCAGCACCATGGTCATTTAACCAACTTTTGTTGCTTTTGGCAGTGTGGGCAGGTGCCAAATCCTGCTGGAAAATGAAATCAGCATCTTCAAAAAGCTGGTCAGCAGAAGGAAGCATGAAGTGCTCCAAAATTTCTTGGTAAACGGGTGCAGTGACTTTGGTTTTCAAAAAACACAATGGACCAACACCAGCAGATGACATTGCACCCCAAATCATCACAGACTGTGGAAACTTAACACTGGACTTCAAGCAACTTGGGCTATGAGCTTCTCCACCCTTCCTCCAGACTCTAGGACCTTGGTTTCCAAATGAAATACAAAACTTGCTTTTGTTAGCTCTTGAACAATTTTTCCACCCACACATTAGAAATAGGCTAACAGTCGTCACATTGCTGTAGAAGACAAAGAATCTTGCTCTGAATATAAAATCAATTCAAAAACTGAATAGGGCAAACAATTTTTCACATATTGATTAGAATGGTGTACATTGTCTGCCAGTGTTATATGTTTGTTTTTTCCTCTTACCCACGCTATTATGTTATATTGTGCCTACAGTTTTATTTAATAATTGGTTTAACAACACAGACAAAGTGTATTCATTCATTACTTATGAATAGCTACACTCTTCTTTGTCAAACGGGTATTATGCCAAAGTCCACGTGAGTGGTGCAATTAAGACAATATTCAGTTTAAAGTGACATTTGAACAAGACTTTCTTACCAGATGGCCTAAATAAATAAACTTAGGTAACACGAAAACTTTGTCAGCATTTAAATACCTGTAGGAAACAGTAATAGTAAGTAGCCTGGTATGCCATATGTGACCACAAAACCAGTCATAAGTGTCGCACGGGTATATTTGTAGAAATAGCCAACAATACATTGTATGGGTCAAAATTAAACATTTTTCTTTTATGCCAAAAATCATTAGGATATTAAGTAAGATCATGCTCCATGAAGATATTTTGTAAATTTCCTATCGTAAATATATCAAAACTTAATTTTGGATTACTAGGCTAATTATGCATTGCTAAGAACTTCATTTGGACAACTTTAAAGGCGATTTTCTCAATATTTAGATTTTGTTGCACCCTCAGATTCCAGGTTTTCATTTTAGTTCATTTCAGCTTTCAGATGATGTATAGATCTCAACTGCAAAAAATGGACCCTTATGACTGGTTTTGTGTTCCAGGGTCACATATGTAAGTAGGCGGCTCTAAAACATGACGTTTCAGCGAGAGGGAGTGGAGGCATTTTCCTCAGTGACGTCGCATATACCGGGCCGGCTGTTTGACTCGGAAACAGCCATGCAGTGTGTAAAGAAGAAATGACCGACAGTGACCTCAAATAAGATGTTGAAGACCTGTCTAGTCTTCATCTCTTTATAACACTTCAGCATTTATGTAGAACTCTGATAAAACTATTGCAAATTTTGAAGCGCCTTCGAAACGTCGAATCGTTACGCATCTGTCCGTCTTCCGAGCGATCATATTTGCTGCGTAAAATAATGGAAAATGCTGAAACATCCGATCAAAACGGAACGACGCACTACACGAACGGTTTAGTAAACGGATTTCACACCCTACAATCCGATAACGGGGAGTGTATTTCATCTAAAGGTGGTCTGGGTGCTAGTGATAGTAGCGGTGGCCATAATGGTATTGAAAATCTCCACCATCTTCATCAGGATGTACACAACAATGGTTCGCCTGCGAAGCGCTGCAGACTCCGAAGACGCGTGGATTCGGGAAAGAAGAACAGACCGCGTAAGTCCAGTTTTCAGTAATTAATTAATGTATTCAATTGTAACTTAAACTGAACAGTGACAATTATCACAACATACTGTAAATAGCTATTTTAGAGGTAAGGTTAATTTAAAAATATCCATCAGTTAAGCAGCTTAAGAAACGATTTTAGCACATTAAACATTTTGTATTTATTTATTTATTTTTCCTTTGTACAATAAAATCTTGGAAGACATGATCTTCGTTCGTTCGTCATTATAAATAACGGTTATCACGTTACAATTTCCATTGAACTTTTTGGTCAGTGTTTATAGCGAATTGTATAGCAAATGTGTGTTTATAGCGAATTAGGTGGGGGCGCATACAAGTTTGAGGATGACTTCAGAGCGGTATGTTAATTGCGACATAATAATGGAATTTATTCAATTTGATTGAATGTAAAAAAAAATATGTTCATCCATAGCAGGCTAGTGTTTTGTTGACATACTGTAATGTATTTTACTGCCACTTATCCTGGCACACACACTGCTCTCTCTCTCTCTCTCTCGCTCGCTCGCGCACACACACACGATG